ACAGACCTTGAAAGATAAGTCGTAATTTTCACCACCCCAAATGCGCAAACCAGGATCGTAGTACCCTAGCTTTTCGAACCAATCTCGATTTATTGCAAAAAGTCCGCCAGCATGCGTCGGAGTCCTACAAGGTACGTAAAAGGTGTCAAACAACAATGTAAAGCAGGAAGCGTCAGAAAGTTGCACAACGAACAGAATTAACCAAAAATACCATAAGAAAACTTCGTTTAAAGTCAGTTACTAAGATAGGTCGAAAGAAAAACATTTGCTTAAAAATACAACGTAAAGATGGGGTTGGATTTCAACTGGATGTACCAGCCTTTGCAAAGCCCGTGTTCTGCTCAGGTCGCAAGTACAGCTTCCTTAGCATGTCTTTCCAATCATCCCGGAAACGCGAAATGTCACATGGTCCACGGTCTACCAGGGGGGCCTTTGCAGTCATCTAGGCTATCAAGAATCATGGCCTGTCGGTTCTATATAAAATCTCCTGAGATCATTTTCGTATTTTACCCTGGGTTCCCTAGCTGTAGCTGTGTAAGGACAGCGGGTCTATCGATTACGTTATTCGCTGCTTAGCTGCCGAGCGCCCAAAACTCGAGGGTGGCTTTGACTATAAGCCAGAGACTCAAATACTGTCAGGCAATTTTGGCGAATAAGGACAGATAGGTGCAGCCGTAATGCGATCTCACCGCATGGGTTTCAAATTAGGTCAACTTATGAAATTAAACCTGTTTCTCGTCATATCTTCTAAGACAATGCGTCTCTTAGAACTTTTACATGAACAAATATATCTAGGAGACCGACAAACCTGAACGGTTCTGACTGATGCTCTCTTAGAACTTCTTCCTGTTTCGGTATCTCCGCTTCTTTGTACAGAAGGCCCCATTCAAAGATCCCCCGATACAACGGTTTGCTGCCGTAACCGCGCTGTTGCGCATATTCCCAGTTGTTCATGTCGATGCTGTCGATGACTGGCACGGTAACAGTGCGCCTAGAGTACTGCTGCAACCATCTCGGAAACGTCTGAAGTCACCTACCAATCGTTTACTATAGGCGTCAATAGTGGTGGCAGCCAATTTACATTCACTTCGCAATGGGCATCCAGAAACACAACAACTTGGCCCCCTAAACAATGGAAGTTACACAATTTCATGTAAAGCATAAAAATTAATAAAAGCATGCTTTTAGCAGACAAAATTAGGCTATTACCAAAAAGGGAGATTGCAGGGCAGAAGAAAATCTTTCGACCCTGCCAGTTAATGTAGCATTTCGAATGCAAGACTTCAGATACTTTTGTTCATCAATAAATTTATTCGACACCCCTCATTCAGATGGGTAATCATATGAAACAACGGTTTGATCAAGCTCTCTCTGGGGGAATGCGGTCTGTGGATCCCGCCATGGTTTGTCTGCAATCAATCGTGTGTATATCTTCAAAGCAGAACAGTCTTAACGAAATAAATAACTGTCAATTTCAAACGCTGATTAATTGCTGGATAACTGGCCCGCACTTCGCCCGGCATGCAATAAGGTTCATTCCTCGTTATCTGATCTTCGGAACGGAGAAGATAACCTTGGAATATGGACGGCTCTGCTCCGGACAAGATAAACCCATACTCAACAAAAATGTGACGGAGAGTTTCTCGTTACGCTAAAATCAGCCCTTCACTAAATAAAGGTAATGTTAAATTACTTCAGGAAATCAAAATCTGAAAAGTGTTTACTAAATACGGGTTATTACATGTTTTAAATACCTGAAGACACAAATGAAGTTGAAGAAATGGCAGATATCTTGCAAGAAGAAGTGCGACAAGCAATAAAACAGTAAAATCGAGGAACGGCTAGTGGGCAAAAAGAGCATCACAGCGCAACACCTAGAATCAGGAGGTGAAGCACTGACCTTATTGCATTTATTTGTAAGCTGTCTCAAAAAACTGAGAAATCTAGAGTGGATTACGGCTTTGGGTATTCTGCTTTTAAAAAATGGAGACAAGTTCTGAAGAATTACATGCTAATAACACTACCGCCAAACATCTACAAGATCTTCATGAAGATATTGACGAACAAACTTTAAGCAAAGCTGTACGCTGTAAAGCCAAAGGAGACAGTAGCATTCAAAAATGCGTTTAAGCGATCTACCATCTCGAGCTGGTACAACAGGCAATTCAGACAAGCAACGATCAGAGCTATCTGTCTGACTGAAGTTCGTCGATATCGACTCATTTCGATGGCATTCGACTCAGTCTAGGCCCGGTCTATACTGAATTTCTTGTGGAGCCAGGGAATCGAGAAAAAATACAGACACCTCATCGTCGTGATTTAATGAATGCTACTGCTACTGCTAAGACTTCACGAAATCACAAATAAGCTAATAATTAAAATGAGGCCATTCCACAGGGTGATGCAATATCACCGAAATTTTTCATAGCAGCCACAGAAGAGAAGTCCATTACATTCTGTTAGGAAATTCATGCGCTGAATATAAACGGCCTTCATTTAAGCCACCTGCGGCTTGAGGACAACATTCTGATCCGTTCAAGGTTACAAGAAGAACTTTAATGAAAGACATGAGTTGAACGACGCCAGCATCAAAGTAGGACTAAAAATGAACCTGAAGAAAAATCAGGTCTTAGCAAATACGTAACCCTGTGAGCTGTTGAGATCAATGAACTTAGGGCTGAAGAAATGCAAAACTAAGTCTACCTTAGACTAACCGTATCTGCCGACTATTTAAATCAACAGAAGAACAAAAATTTAACAGAGCACTTTTGGAAAATTGAAACTATTCCTATCCGGGAGGGTGAATGGAAAATTCTAGCAATGAAGTGCCTCCAGTGCTAACGCATGGGTGTAAAACGTTTACCATAAACCTGAAAGCTGTTCATTAACTGCATACTACGCAAGAAAGCATGAAAGGATGCATACTGGGAATAGAAAGAAAAGATAGGGTAGACGAATGAAGAGGTAAGGGCACAAACAGGAGTATGCAATGTCATTATCTGAGTGAAGTAGTAGGAGGGGACGTTGCAAGAGGAGCCAACTATCGTTGGATCAGAGAGGCATTAGAGTGCGTTACAAAAAAGAGCAAGCGGTATGTAGAAAGATCTCCAGATCAATTGCAGGATGAGCTGAAGAAGTTCGCTGAATCAAGTTGGATCAACGTGATAGAAAAGAAAAGTCTATCGTAAGGTCTTGGAGGCCTTCATGAAGAGTGGATCGAAAAAAGTTGATGTAACTTCAAATGAGAACTCTACAGCATGTTGTCATTTTCGCCGTTCAAGATTAACAAAGTCTAAACAGATTAGAGCAGATGTGGAATGTCGTACCAACTGCTTAAAATGGTTTCGAATGCATATTTAGGAGTGGGTGTTCATCCGGCAAAAGTTTAAGAGGGATGTTCGCCTTAGGAAAAGACTTTCTAATGCCTAAAGTAATAAAACAGCTTTTATTTACTTGCATTTTCTGCTCCTATGTTGCGAGTACGAATGAGTCCTTCGCGTTGCCGATTTCGGATGATTCTGACGGTGGAGCCAAACTTCTGTTTCACGTAGTTGTCTAATTTGTTCTTCAAGTGCTCTGTGAACAAAGCATTAACAACATCTCATACCCCCTCTATTGAATAGCAGCGGCAGGTACCTTTATCACTAAAGTCGTCCACCATCACCACTTCCAGCAGCAACTTAGACGGAGTCCGGTTGACGACTGAGTGAACAGTCCTCAACAGCGGGCTCCATGCCTCGTTATGAAACACGATCACCACACTGGTACGAGGCAAGTTTTCCGGATAATGCCAATATTTACACCTGAACGAAGAAAATAAATCTAACGAAGGGGACAGCAAAAGCAACACCAGAGTATTCACTAGTTGACTTACTCTGCATGCCTCGTATCTGGAATGGAACGATCAAGTGAAATCTTGTCGCTAGCAGCAACGTTGAAGCCGTACTTTGCGAAAGCGACTTCTGACTCGGAATTGGCGTAATCAAGCACTGGTTGCCCATTTTCTCCTATGAATAATATGCTCATCAGAGTAACTCAAAAAACAAATCCCTATGTTTGCCAAAGACTTCTCATGCATTTAATATTAAATTTAATTTTAATATCAATGCATCTTTAGCAGCAGGATATGGTGGTTTATTCCTTCGACGTTTCGACGCTTTTTGTCGCATATGAATAGCACCAATTATGCAACAATTTATTACTATACGAAAGCCTCATCTACAGTGCGTAGA